GGGACTCCAGGATCATGACCTGAGCTGAAGGCAGTTGCTCAACCAACTGAGCCACCCAGGCGCCCAACATTTTTTTTATAGTTGCCCTCCTAATGGATGTGAAGTGGTATCTCATCGTAGTTTCGATTTGCATGTCCCTCATTAGTGATGTTGAGCAATTTTAAATGTGCTTATTGGCCATTTGTGCATCTTCTTTGGATAAATGTCTACTGTGGTCCTTTGCCTAATTTTGAATTGGGTTGTTTGCTTTTCTGTTTAGTTCTCGTTCTCTATTCTGGATATTGATTCCGTATCAGATGTATAATTTGCAGTATTTTCTCTCATTCTGTGGGTTGCCTTTTTACTCTGTAGATCATGTCTTTTGATGCACAAATTTTAAAAATTTTCATGAGGTGCAATCTGTCTTTTGTCCATGCCGTTGGTCTCATATCAAAATCATCAAGTCCAATGTCATGAAGCTTGTGCCCTATGTTTTCTTCTAAGAGTTGTATAGTTTTAGGTCCTTGATCCACTTTAATTTTATATAAGGTGTAAGGTAAGGGCCCAGCTTCATTCTTTTGCATGTGGATGTCCCGTTTTCCCGTTTCACCGTTTGTTGAAAAGATCTTTGCCCCAGCGTGGTCTTGGCAGCCTGGTAGACTATCATTTGACCATGGATGTGGTTTATTTCTGGGCTCTCTATTCTGTAGAATGCTCAGGGAAGACCCTCCGCAGACCTCTGTCTCCTTTCTGGCGCTCTAGCTGGTCGGTCTCCTGCCTTCCAGCTACAGAATCTTTTGATGACCAGCCCAAGCTGTGTTGACCCACATGCAGACAGACAGGCCGGCTGTGTGGATGCCCAACCACAAACGGGTCACGTCTGTACATGTGTCAGGGGGCCTGGAGAGAGCACATACCTCTCAGGGCTTGCAGGCACACTGAGTGACCTTCCAGAAGGGGCTGGCCTCAGTGGCCACACTCCTGACGCGCACCTGCTGGAGCTTAGCGGCAGCAGCAGCAGACACCCTGCTTACAAGAGAAGGTTTCCAGGCACGTGCGGACTTGCAGCCTCAGCCCCAGCTAGGCCCAGAAGGTAAACTCTGCCATAGCCAGAATGAAGCTGGCGAACGGTGCGCGCGGCCAGGCTGACTCGACTGTGCTCTGTGGGCCCGCTGTGCGGAGTGCCGCAGTGCGCAGAGCCCTTAACCGTGCGCCCGGACACAGACCTGGCTCAGGGAGGTGGTGTGGGAGCCCAGACGGACGGAGGGCGTGCCGGGCAAAGGGACGATCCTCCTCCCGAGACTCAGCCTCAGGCAGCCCCTGCGGGGGAGGCAGGACGGACTGGGCGGAGAGATGAAGTCCGAAGCCGAGGTGGGAGCTGAGGAGCTGCCGAGCTCACCCCCAGGCCTGTGGGGCACGGGCCCGTCCGGCTCAGCGCTGCCCGGGACCCACCCGCAGCCTTGACAGCGCCCCCTCCCCGCTCTGCTCGGCCCTCGGTTTCCGGAGGGCTGGCGCCTACACGCGAGTCCCCCCTTCGCAGGGGACCCCAGCCCAAGCCCGGCTTCCCTCCGCCGCCCGCCCGCGGCTTCCTCGGGCTCGGATCAACTACACGCCCTGCTGCGTCCATCCGCACCTGGTCCTCGGCCACTTGCACGGGGCAAGTCCCAGGAGGGCTGTACACAGCCCGCGTCGCCGCTCTTCCGAAGCCGAGGCCCGGGCCCTGCCACCAGCCCCGCCCGGCCGCAACCCACCCCGCGCCGCGCAACACGCGGAGGCCCCGCCCCCGTCCGCCGGAAGCGGAAGTGCATCCGAACCGGCCGGCTGCGCGCGGCGCGCCGGGACCCGGAAGCACTTCCCGAGGCCCCGCCCCGCTCGCCAATACCGCTGCCGGGGGACGCAGCGCTTCCTTTCTGCGCTCGAGCTCGTGGTGCTGGCAGCAGGTGGGCCGTG